AAATAACAGTCCTCCAAAGTCAGCAATGTTCCAGCAATATGACGGCAATGTGTAAATAACAGTCCTCCAAAGTCAGCAATGTTCCAGCAATATGACGGCAATGTGTAAATAACAGTCCTCCAAAGTCAACAGTATTCCAGCAATATGAGGGCAATGTGTAAATAACAGTCCTCCAAAGTCAGCAATGTTCCAGCAATATGAGGGCAATGTGTAAATAACAGTCCTCCAAAGTCAACAATATTCCAGCAATATGACGGCAATGTGTAAATAACAGTCCTCCAAAGTCAACAGTATTCCAGCAATATGACGGCAATGTATAAATAACAGTCCTCCAAAGTCAACAGTATTCCAGCAATATGAGGGCAATGTATAAATAACAGTCCTCCAAAGTCAACAGTATTCCAGCAATATGAGGGCAATGTGTAAATAACAGTCCTCCAAAGTCAGCAATGTTCCAGCAATATGAGGGCAATGTGTAAATAACAGTCCTCCAAAGTCAACAGTATTCCAGCAATATGAGGGCGGCAATGTCCAGCAATATAAATAACAGTCCTCCAAAGTCAACAGTATCCCAGCAATATGACGGCAATGTATAAATAACAGTCCTCCAAAGTCAACAGTATCCCAGCAATATGAGGGCAATGTATAAATAACAGTCCTCCAAAGTCAACAGTATTCCAGCAATATGAGGGCAATGTATAAATAACAGTCCTCCAAAGTCAACAGTATTCCAGCAATATGAGGGCAATGTGTAAATAACAGTCCTCCAAAGTCAGCAATGTTCCAGCAATATGAGGGCAATGTGTAAATAACAGTCCTCCAAAGTCAACAGTATTCCAGCAATATGACGGCAATGTGTAAATAACAGTCCTCCAAAGTCAACAGTATTCCAGCAATATGAGGGCAATGTGTAAATAACAGTCCTCCAAAGTCAGCAATGTTCCAGCAATATGAGGGCAAGTGTGTAAATAACAGTCCTCCAAAGTCAACAATGTTCAATATGACGGCAATATGACGGCAATGTGTAAATAACAGTCCTCCAAAGTCAACAGTCAATATGACGGCAATGTATAAATAACAGTCCTCCAAAGTCAGCAATATCCAGCAATATGACGGCAATGTGTAAATAACAGTCCTCCAAAGTCAGCAATGCAATTCGGCAGCAATATGAGGGCAATGACGGCAATGTATAAATAACAGTCCTCCAAAGTCAGTCAATGTTCCAGCAATATGACGGCAAATGTGTAAATAACAGTCCTCCAAAGTCAACAGTATTCCAGCAATATGAGGGCAATGTGTAAATAACAGTCCTCCAAAGTCAGCAATGTTCCAGCAATATGACGGCAATGTGTAAATAACAGTCCTCCAAAGTCAACAGTATTCCAGCAATATGACGGCAATGTGTAAATAACAGTCCTCCAAAGTCAACAGTATTCCAGCAATATGAGGGCAATGTGTAAATAACAGTCCTCCAAAGTCAGCAATGTTCCAGCAATATGACGGCAATGTGTAAATAACAGTCCTCCAAAGTCAACAGTATCCCAGCAATATGAGGGCAATGTGTAAATAACAGTCCTCCAAAGTCAACAGTATCCCAGCAATATGACGGCAATGTGTAAATAACAGTCCTCCAAAGTCAACAGTATCCCAGCAATATGACGGCAATGTATAAATAACAGTCCTCCAAAGTCAACAGTATTCCAGCAATATGAGGGCAATGTGTAAATAACAGTCCTCCAAAGTACAATACAATTGACGGCATCCAGTCGTACCTCCCACAAAGTCCCATGTGCCCTGCGGTTCACGTTCACACCACACGTGGCACCGTCCACTACGTGATGCCAATAAAGAACTGACGAACGCCTCACAAGTTTTTTTCCGATAAAAAACAAAATGGCGGACGATCAGATCAACAATGACGGAGGGTGAAAACGAAGTACAGACAAGGAACTTTTGTCACGGGTGGTTTTCGAATTCAACGTTTCCCCACACAAAGGCTGACTAATTACAAGTTACACTTGCCACATTGTGTGGCGTTTAACACCATCTCTCGCCTCCCCAAAAACAAATTTATTCAGGGACGGTATAGATTTACGCAGCTCATTCAAGGTCCGAATTGTTAAAAGAATTCTTATACAATATCTTACTGCTTTACTTAGTTAAGTTTGACTGAGTTTTAGAAATACGGTAGGAAATAACACATTGATAGGTTTGATTTTAAGTTTTAATTGTGTGGACATTGAATAAGGGAGGAATTGGAGGTACAGAGCCTTGAATACACCAGTCATTTGTGATTTGAACTTACCATTGTAAACCACTGTCATTGTAAGCCACTAATGAGACGTCATGGCAACGCTGCATCACAGTGTTTGGAAACGTTGTATGGTGACGTCGACATAAAGTTACGCCACAGTGTAATCTATCGGAGGGATGTTCGTGCGGTGTCAGTTTTGTGTGGATTACAGTATACATGTCCCACTGTAATTTACTCGACATTTACACACACCACACCACACCACACACACACACACACGGACACACACGCGCGCACACGCGCACACATGTATAACATTTAATGAACAAGAGAAGTGTGTGTGTGTGTGTGTGTGTGTGTTACCGTCAGTTGCCAGGGTCCCACTGACCACCAGTTGCCAGGGCCCCACTGACCACCAGTTGCCAGGGCCCACTATCCACCAGGATCCCACTGACCACCAGTTGCCAGGGCCCCACTGACCACCAGTTGCCAGGGCCCCACTGACCACCAGTTGCCAGGGTCCCACTAATCACCAGTTGCCAGGGCCCACTATCCACCAGTTGCCAGGGCCCCACTGACCACCAGTTGCCAGGGTCCCACTGACCACCAGTTGCCAGGGTCCCACTGACCACCAGTTGCAAGGGCCCCACTGACCACCAGTTGCAAGGGCCCCACTGACCGCCAGTAGTCAGGGCACCATTAACCGCCAGTTGCCAGGGCCTCACTGACCGCCGGTTGCCAGGGCCTCACTGATCGCCAGTTGTCAGGGGTCCACTGATCGCCAGTTGCCAGGACCCAACTGATCGCCAGTTGCCAGGGCCTCGCTGACCACCAGTTGCCAGGGTCCCACTGATCACCAGTTGCCAGGACCCTACTGATGTCACCCGTTGCCAGGGCCTCGCTGACCACCAGTTACCAGGGGCCCATTGATCGCCAGTTGCCATTGCTCCACTGATCGCCAGTTGCCAGGGTCCCGCTGAACAACACATCTTCCATCTCATTCTTCAGTATCGTATGTTTAATGTATAATGTTTAGAGAACCAAGACAACTCCAATATTATTGTTTTATAATCAGCTTCACGCCCACAGAAGGGTCATATGTTCAAAAATTATAACCTCCACCCACAACAGAGCTTAGCGGAACACACAGAATGAAACCCATCACACAATGGAATCGACGTTTTGATTAGTCAACGTTAAGGATAGAGCATCGTTATGACGTTAACAGCCGTCGTCTACGTAACTGTCATCTGGATTTTTTTGGTGGACAGAACACAAAATCGGTTCTGAAGGTGTGGCTTTATGTATAGTCACTTTTCAGGGAACTTTAGTCCATTTCATCTTGGGTCACTGCAGTTGCCCTGCATTTTTGTAATTTGAATGCATTTATCATATGGCAACGGTTTTCCCCCCAATTTAACAACTAGGCAGAAACAGCAATACTGCACCCCGACTTTTTAAATTAATGTGTCACGGTGCTAAGCTAACGACCATGCCACCTGTGTAAAGTAGAGTCTGATCCACGGAGGGGCTGTAATTGTCAGCACTGGACGTGACTACACAAGCGTGAATTTGACAAATAGCTCAAACAGACCAATTGAAGGATTTGTCCAAATCGAGCGTCAACAACCGAGCGGAAGCATTAGCTCATAGCGTTAGTGGGTCTAACAGTAGACGCTACACTAGTCAGCTGTACCAGCAGGAACCAGTAACTGGTTTATTGACGCAGAGAGTATAATAAATCGACACTTGCCCACGACACCGGTCCTAACAGGTTACCAAGCAACAGGTTACCAAGCATCATAACAAACCACATGGTCTGTAACCAGTCCCAGCATGCACAGCGGGGCAACTACTCTGACAGCTTCCCGTGCCGTTGACGACACCGACACTGCATTATGAACTCAAGTTCTAGAGTTTTCACAGAAGATATTTGGCCAAAAGGAAAGATATAATGAAAACATGTTAAAATTGTCTTGCAAGTATGTATTTTCCTAGATACAATATCTCAATTCCCAAAAGAAAAGTCAACATAACACACGTGGAATGTATTTAAATGTCCATATGAAAGTGCTGAAATCACACTTTCTGTAGTCGGAGTCGAAGCCGAACTATATAGGGGCGTGGCCAGGAGATACTGGCGCACCGATGCACTGGTTCGAGGCATATTTTCATTGGCTTAGATGTAGACTCGGTTATATCTGCTATATGATCTTGTGGTGTTTAGTTGTTGTACGGCGACGTCATTGACGTGTAAATCAAACCTACAACAAGTTAACATTACATGCATTACTGAGTGAGAGAAGGGACCGTTGATCTGGTCATTTTAATACTTTAAATGAATACGAATTTATGTCTGTAGCAACATTTCAAATGCTATAGATACATAAGAATTTGTCTGTAACCACGTTTTGCTATCTACCATCCTGTGTATAAACGGTCAGTTCCTACTGCAGCTGCCCACACGATACGCCTTAACCTTTAATTGGATTTTGTGGGCTCACCTCAGCGATTTACGACACAAAACTCCACATCAACATTTTCACATTTTAATTATACTGCAATATGTTTTGTTGTTTACACATTTACAAATATGATACAAACTATGGATAAAAACAATCAACACTTTGTATATAATTATTTATATGTCCAAATATATTATTTATTTGTCCAATTTCACTTCACAAATTCCCATTTAGAGTATTCGCAGACGTAAAACAATGTTTTGATAATTGTTCAGTGGTTTCTAGTTGGCAAGAACCTGTTCCTTCTCTGATCGACGGTTGGACAAACATGTAGTTTGTGGGGTGCAACCTGCAGCATGACGGTGGATGTAGGTGGGTGCAGCATGACGGTGGATGTAGGTGGGTGCAGCATGACGGTGGATGTAGGTGGGTGCAGCATGACGGTGGATGTAGGTGGGTGCAGCACGACGGTGGATGTAGTGCAGGGTGGATGTAGGTGGGTGCAGCATGACGGTGGATGTAGGTGGGTGCAGCATGACGGTGGATGTAGGTGGGTGCAGCATGACGGTGGATGTAGGTGGGTGCAGCAGCATGACGGTGGATGTAGGTGGGTGCAGCATGACGGTGGATGTAGGTGGGTGCAGCATGACGGTGGATGTAGGTGGGTGCAGCATGACAGTGGATGTAGGTGGGTGCAGCATGACGGTGGATGTAGGTGGGTGCAGCATGACGGTGGATGTAGGTGGGTGCAGCACGACGGTTGATGTAGGTGGGTGCAGCACGACGGTGGATGTAGGTTGGTGCAGCATGACGGTGGATGTAGGTGGGTGCAGCACGACGGTGGATGTAAGTGGGTGCAGCATGACGGTGGATGTAGGTGGGTGCAGCATGAAGGTGGAAGTAGGTGGGTGCAGCATGACGGTGGATGTAGGTGGGTGCAGCATGACGGTGGATGTAGGTTGGTGCAGCATGACGGTGGATGTAGGTGGGTGCAGCATGACGTTGGATGTAGGTGGGTGCAGCATGACGGTGGATGTAGGTTGGTGCAGCAGGACGGTGGATGTAGGTGGGTGCAGCATGACGGTGGATGTAGGTGGGTGCAGCACGACGGTGGATGTAGGTGGGTGCAGCATGACGGTGGATGTAGGTGGGTGCAGCATGACGGTGGATGTAGGTGGGTGCAGCATGACGGTGGATGTAGGTGGGTGCAGCACGACGGTGGATGTAGGTGGGTGCAGCACGACGGTGGATGTAGGTGGGTGCAGCACAACGGTGGATGTAGGTGGGTGCAGCATGACGGTGGATGTAGGTGGGTGCAGCATGACGGTGGATGTAGGTGGGTGCAGCATGACGGTGAATGTAGGTGGGTGCGGCTTGATGGTGGATGTAGATGGGTGACGTCCACGTCTCTTCCGGTTTGATGCCGAGGGAATTTACCATACAAAACCAACAAATATACAAGGGGCGGTCCCTCGTGGACCTTCTCATATGTATGTATGTATGTATGTATGTATGTATGTATGTATGTATGTATGTATGTATGTATGTATGTATGTATGTATGTATGTATGTATGTATGTATGTATGTATGTATGTATGTATGTATGTATGTGTGTGTGTGTGTGTGTGTGTGTGTGTATGTGTGTGTGTGTGTGTGTGTTCGCGCGCGCGCGTGCGTGTGCGCGTGCTTGCGTGCGTGCATGTATTTTTAAACTCTACGGATATCCTTCATTGTGTGGTGCGTGGAATATCATGAAAATCACGATTTTGAAAAATCGCACGTGCATTTTATGCGTCATCAGTACAAAACACAGCCGTTAGTTAGTGGTATACCTGTTGAAGGCGAACATCAAAATGCCAAGATTATCAGCAGCGGAGCGGGAAGGAGTCACTGGAATGTCGCAGATGGGGCTTCGAACTGCCATAGTGCCAGAACGTTAGGCTGCCCACATCAGACTAATGTGACCCGTCACACAGCCTGGCCAGACATCTGACAGTCGGGACGTCATTAACCGATCAACATCGAATGGATACGTTGAGTGAGGAACGTAAGGCGCTGGCAACACCGCAACTGTGTACGATATCTGTAGTGCCCTGGCAGCATGTACGATATATGTAGTGCCCTGGCAGCACGTACGATATCTGTAGTGCCCCGGCAGCATGTACGATATCTGTAGTGCCCTGGCAGCATGTACGATATCTGTAGTGCCCTGGCAGCATGTACTCAGTGCCCTACGATATCTGTAGTGCCCTGGCAGCATGTACGATATATGTAGTGCCCTGGCAGCATGTACGATATCTGTAGTGCCCTGGCAGCATGTACGATATCTGTAGTGCCCTGGCAGCATGTACGATATCTGTAGTGCCCTGGCAGCATGTGCACAATGTTGGTGATTTGTAAGTCACAATGTAAATACTTTTCAAAACATTTCCGTTGTTCTTTGGAAAAGAAAGCACCAGGTGTGTACTTTCTTTTGTACGTCAGTATCAAAGCGTACTCTTAGATTTCCTCAAGAGAGAACAGTTGTAGCACAACCATATCCTTCACTTCTCCTGTTTTTGTCCTTTACTACTTTTAAATTTGATTTAAGATTGAAGAAAAACGTTTTCCATTTGTGAAAGTGACATTCAAGAGTGCGAATAGCAATTATATACTAAGTCACGGCTTCATTCAGTGGCACGAACTGCTAATTCAGGTGGCATTCTGGCTTCTGGAGGCTAGAGTCCGCGCGCTGTACCACGCGTGCATACATTAGTCACACGTGTGTTTGATTGTCAGGGATTTATTCAGGAGTCACCGCTACGCAGCCTGCAAACACACACAGCAAGTGGATCAGTACACACACTCGACTTGAAGGAATGCGGACGTTGGTTGTGGAGTGGCGTGGCAGGAACGTCACATTCTCAACCTGACCCTGCATATGTGTACATGCATGATCCGACAGTCACTACCTGCAGCACCTGTTTGCCTCACCCTTGCACTCAGAGATGCCATATCTTCTATAGTCGATGTAGGACCGGTCTCTCTGTATGGTGTATACAGAGGAGATGTCCATACCTTCTATAGCAGATGTTGCTCTTGTCTGTACGGTGTATACAGAGGAGATGTCCATATCTTCTATAGCAGATGTTGCTCTTGTCTGTACGATGTATACAGAGGAGATTTCCATACCTTCTATAGCAGATGTTGCTCTTGTCTGTACGATGTATACAGAGGAGATGTTCATATCTTCTATAGTCGATGTAGCACCTGTCTGTCTGTACGATGTATACAGAGGAGATGTCCATACCTTCTATAGTACATGTTGCTCTTGTCTGTACGATGTATACAGAGGAGATGTCTATATCTTCTATAGCAGATGTTGCTCTTGTCTGTACGATGTATACAGAGGAGATGTCGATATTTTCAATGGTCGACGTAGGACCGGTCTGTCTGTATGGTGTATACAGAGGAAATGTCCATATCTTCTATAGTCGATGTAGCACCTGTCTGTCCATACCTTATATAGCAAATGTTGCTCTGTCTGTACGATGTCCATATATTCTATGTATACAGAGGAGATGTCCATATCTTCTATAGTAGATGTTGCTCCTGTCTGTCGATGTATAGCAGATGGTGTATACAGGGGACATGTCCATATCTTCTACAGTCGATGTAGCACCGGTCTGTCTGTATGGTGTATACAGAGGAAATGTCCATATCTTCTATAGTCGATGTAGCACCTGTCTGTCTGTACGATGTATACAGAGGAGATGTCCATACCTTATATAGCAGATGTTGCTCTTGTATGTACTATGTATACAGAGGAGATGTCCATACCTTATATAGCAGATGTTGCTCTTGTATGTACGGTGTATACAGAGGAGATGTCCATATATTCTATAGTCGACGTAGAACCGGTCTGTCTGTATGGTGGATGTAGAGATGTCCATATCTTCTATAGTAGACTTTGCTCCTGTCTGTACGATGTATACAGAGGAGATGTCCATATATTCTATAGTAGATGTAAGACCTGTCTGTCTGTATGGTGTATACAGAGGAGATGTTTATATCTTCTATAGTAGATGTAGGACCTGTCTGTATGGTGTATACAGGGGACATGTCCATATCTTCTACAGTCAATGTAGCACCGGTCTGTCTGTACTATGTATACAGAGGAGATGTCTATATCTTCTACAGTCGATGTAGCACCTGTCTGTGTGTACGGTGTATACAGAGGAGATGTCCATATATTCTATAGTCGATGTATAAATAAGTATATGTCAAAGACGTTGCGACATTTTACTTGTGTTTTGTTGACCTTTCTAAGGCGTTCGATTCATTACCTAGAAATGGCCTTAGCACCACCAATATGGATCTATGACTAAAGTCGGTCTACGAAAATGTGAAAGCTTGTATACGAACATTCTGGTATTTATACACGAATGATTTTGATTGTCCAGTCGATGTCCAACAAGGATGTGTTCTCAACTCTTTTATACTTTCATATTTGTATAAACGAACTTGTTTGTAAAATTGCAAGCTCTAGTACAAATGTTATCCAGTTCTACCAAGATTTACCTGAATTATTTTAATGTTTGTTTGTAGGCGCCATTCCTTTGATTTATTCTGCGACTGGTCTTCAAAATCAAATTGATATTTTAGAACATTATTATGACTTTTCTCTCCAAAAGATTTCTTTTAAACTTTGAATTTCTGTGTTATGATGCGCACTTTAAAGTATTGCCTATATTGATACTAAAATATTACCTATGTTGATGTATGCTGGTGAACTATAGAGTCTTGGTAAACCCACGTGTATAGAAAACGTACATTTACTTGCCCTGAAACGTTTTTTTTTGTCTCAAGGAGATCAACACAACTAATATTGTATCTTAGGATATTGTGGGAGATTTCCAATACAGTTTTATAGAGATAAACGTTATATTTCGTGCAACGTATGTGATTTCATTTGTGATTACACTTTCTCGGTAAAGTACAGATGCTAGTAATTTTGGTGGTGAGTCCTGTAAGAGATGCATTTCTTACTGTGTTTTATTTTTAAAATAACCATGCAACCAAGGAAGCTGTGTGTTCATTTTATACAATGCTATCAAGCTGTCCAAGTCGAGAAAGTGCGTTTCTTTACACCTCGGAGGCTGCCAGCGGTATTTTAACTATTGCTGTTATTATGTGGGGTTTGGTACTCTAGCATACTTTCTTCCAAAGTTTGGTACCAGATATGCTAAAATATGGAGCAAATTTTCAGAATATAGTTGCAGTTGATACTCCTTTTTGGAAAGACGTATTAAAAGCATGGAAATTATATTGTATCAAAAATACCATAGATGCAGAGAACATTAACGAAATCTTATCCCAACCTTTATGGTTGAATAACAATTTCAAAAACTCAAATCACATCATTTGTCACTGGGCTAAAAGTGGAATCTTGACGATCAAAGATCTTTGTGATGAACATGGGTTTATATCCTTTGATCAATTGAAGCTTAAATTTGATATAAAAGGTACTCACTTAGATCTTGGATATGTTATATATATTTTACCTGAACCTTGGAAAAGACTTTAAAGGAATATAGATATATAAACATTAATGACCTCACAATAAATTCACTCCAAAAGGATTTCATATCCCCAAGAAAAGGTTCAAGATTGTTCTATGATAAATTATTATCTGAAAATGTTAAACCTCACATGTGCCAAAAATGGGAAACATTATTTGACTGTATTGATTTTGATTGGCATTTGATTTTTCATATTTGTAGAAAGAATTTAAGAGATGTGAAACTGTTAGATTTTCAATACAAATTTCTGCACGGAATTGTTTATACCCAAAGAGAACTTTTTAGAATGAATCTCGTGGACAATACAATATGTTCTTTGTGTAATGATTCTGTTGAAACCTTATGCCATGTATATTGGGAATGTGATGAAACCAAAACTTTCTGGAAGAAACTTGAACAGTGGATTACGAAACGTATCCAAACACTTAATTTGACAAAATCCTTGATCTGGTTTGGCTTTTTAGGTAAGAACCCATAACTGAACCTCATAATCTTATCTGCTAAGAGATATATTTACACTTGCTCTTTGACAAAAACAATTCCAAAAGTTGACAATTACTTAAGGATATTGAAAGACATATTTACCACTGAATCATTCATCTCTAGAAGAAATAATAATGTTGAAAGCTTTTAGCCAAATGGTTTCCTGTCATCCTGTTTAACCCCGAATGACTATGAAACAAAAACATATCACTGATATTGATATTCAGTGTACTTAGTGTACTATATCGCTATTGAGCCTACTAGCAGCTATGTGCACATATTCCTCTATATGCTTGTACTCATC